TATAGCATAAGCCCCAATTATGTCAATCGAACCTTAGTAACATCTACCCGTCAATTAGCCACCTAGGTGATGCCACGACCCTAGTGCCCTTCTTCCCATTAGATACAACTTTAGCAATTATTTCGTAGTATAATCTAGATTCAAATAGTAGTTTGATAACTATAGTTTATAATTGAAAACCCCAAAAATGATAAGAAGGTCAATTAAGAGCATACACGCAATTCTAGTCTAGATAGATACCCAGCTCCAATTTCTAGCTCTCTGTGGAATTCGATCCCGACCCTCATATAGGGCAAAAGCTATTGTGGCCCTCTCTTCCTACTTTATAGTAGCGTGGAGTTGGCAGCGATCAGCTGTTCCCGAAGTGTATCTTTCTCTGAGGCGAGATGGTCCATGTGTTGCTTCCACCCTAGGGTCTCGGCCTCTTTCATCTTGAGCTCTTCTCGGAGCTGCTCCACCAGCTCGCCCTTCTGCTGGGCCTGCAAAAGTTGAAGTGTTAAGCACTAAGTCGAATGAAGACATAACAAACCCCCAAAGTCTACATTACCTTTTCGATGAGTTCAGTCTGTTCCTGACGAGCCTTCGCCAACTCAACTCGGAGATCTCTGACCTCTTCCTCTTTCTATACATAGAAGCGCTTGAGGTCGTCCCCCTCTTCCATCAGCTTCTTGAGTTCGCTTCACACTGGGCAAGCTCGGCTTAAGATTTGGAAAATGCTTGCCGATGAAGCGCTACGGCCTTCATACAAAGAAAAAGAATTAGACTTAGGAAAATAAGAGTAAAATTTGATCGTAATTATGAGGACAAAAACTTACTTGTTGAAGAAGCCTCTGGGCCTCATCAAAGATAAACGAGGCGTCAGGATCGGGACCATCTTCGACCCCTACAAGGCATTCCCGAAAAATATCACTCCCTTCATGGGTCGTTCCCATATCAGGAGTCCTCATGGCTTGGGCATCTCGAAATTGCCCTTCTGAGAACACGGGGCCCAGCGGCGAGTCATCTACATTAATTATCCCAAGTGATTCACTTGGGATATTATCCTCTCTTTGGAGGGCCTCGGGACTAGGCTCTTCGGGCTCACCCGCCAAACGTCCCCCAGGATGACACACGCTTTTACCCCTGATGGCTCGGGGAATCTACTCGAGCTCCCTTCCAAAATTTCTTCGTTTTGAGATTGAACCGCATCAATCACCATGGGTTCAGCGGCCTTCGAAGAGTCGTGCTTCCTCTCTTCCAAGCTACCAACAGGCAGTCGTCATCTTCTCCCTCCTCATCATCATCCCGAAGGTGTTGGGCCATTTCTGAAGATAGGACCACGGAATCGGCCTTAGACTTTCGAGCCTTGCTTTTCTTTGGCTTCGGGGAACTTGTAGGTGACCCCCTTTTCCTCTTCTTCTCTTTGGTCGATTTTGGGATTCCTTCTTCATCGGGCGGGGGCGGCCGCATAGCAACGGAGTCTTTGAGGCCTGCATAATGGTAAAGTGAGTATTCCATTAAGAGATATCAATATGTGAACAAGAGAACTCACCATGGTTTTTAGCTTCCCATCGACCCGTGGCCAAATCACGCCAACTGCGTTCCGCGTATGAAGAAGTGGAGGCCAGTTGCGGGACGCAGCCTGTGAGGTCCGGGACCGCACCAGAAAACCAAGGGACATTTGCGTCATCAGATAAGAATTAGATCGTGAAAGAGTAGGGAAAGCAGAATATTAATCACATCGATAAGTTTGCACTTACATTTCATGTTCCATTCCTCGGGGAATACCATCCTCTCAGCAGGAATCAGATCAGAGGTACTAATTCGGACAAATCGGCTCATCCATCCTCGGTCTTTGTCCTCATCGATGCTGGAGAAAAGTGACTTCTAGGATCGGTGCTGCAGCTTTATCAGACCGCCTCGATAAAGGCGAGGGCTATATAGCCTGATCAGGTGGTCGAGGGTAAAAGGCATCCCCTCGAATAGGCCCGAGAAATATCTGTTCAGATTGACGATGAGCCAGAAAGAAGGGTAGATCTGGCCAAGCGTTACCTGGTATTGTTGGCAAAAATCAAGAATCACTGGGTCTATGGAACCCAGAGCTGGATCTACGGGACGGAACGTGAAAGGGTAGGTATACACGCTTAAGTACCCTGCCTTATGGGTAGTGATGTCCTCTTTAGGGGAAGGGATCACAACATCTTTGTTCTCCCAGTTGTAGTCTTTTTTCACCTACTCAAGCTCATCTTCAGTTATCAAGCAGATGTATCGAGACATGGGCTCACATTGGCCTGGTATCGATGCAGGTTATTCGATTTTAAAATCGAAAGTTAGTTCGCACTGCCCGGGAATACACTCCTCAATACGAGGTGGCACCATCGTTCTACCTCTGGCCAACCGCGATGATGAGGAAGATTTTTCTTTCTGGGGAACAGTGTTAGATGTTTTAGACATTGTTGTTGAGAAATTCAAGAGAAGAGAGGGAGTTGATGCTGTAGCAAGAACAAATTGAGAAAAAGGAGAACTCAGGAAATTGAAGAAGCTAGTGAGATTTTATGAATGATGTGAGAAGTAAAAATTGTAAGAATTGTGAAATTGGCCTATTTATAGAGGCCGCTTTAATGGTTTGGGGAAGCCAACGGCCGACTATCATCCGCCTCCAATTAATGACCTTGGAAACTGCAAAGAAGTGACTTTTCAATTACTTCAGTCGCTGATATCACGATATTGACATCATGATCGAGGCGTCGAAGCATCAAGGATCAAATCGTTTCTTATCATCTTACTCTAAGAAAAGCGGGGACTATCTGTATATGGTCAAAATCAGGTATGCCCGATTTCACGGGCTCGAGGGGTCGCCTTAAGCCCGAGTTCAGGACAGGATCGAGTTCGAGCTCGATGGACCAGGCTCGAGCTCGATGATAGAGTACAAGGCCCGAGGATCAAAATATGTGATGAGTATCGAAACCGAGTATGCCCAACCCCGAGATGATGCCGTTATGAGATTGTAATACAATGGGCAAGATTCCTGCCACGTCCCCAAGATCATGGCGCAAATTCCTGAATAGATTTGTACGAGTTAGTACTAATCCGTACTAGGCGGTTAGACAGCTGTCCCAATAAGATTCCTTACGGTAGATAAAAATATACCTTATTTAGGGTTCCCCCATTATATAAAGTGACCCCAATCATTTGTAAATATCATCAATCATTGATAAAGAATATACTCTCTTACTTTTTGGCTCATATTTCATCTGAATCGTCTCTTTACTTAATTGTTCTTGCTTTACTGTTCTTAACCAACCTCGAGGCCACCTTAGCTCAAGGTCGAGACTGTCTTGCACACTGGTTTGATTTTACTTATTTCCTTCATTCATACGTTAGTTTTCTTGGTTATTAATTAGTATTGAACTAAATCACCTATCTTTAAAACCATAAATCAAATTTAATTGTTACTCGTATTTTTGAGGTAAACAACTATATTGATAATAATTTATTTTAAATAAAATCTAGATAATTAGAAGTTACATTAAAAAGTCTACTATAAAGTATGTCCTTAAAATTTGCATATTGGCTTTTGGCAACCATTTCTCAAGGAAGAAAAAGCAAACAACAAACAAAATCCATAAAAAAAAAAAAGACCGGAGGTATGGAGGCAGGTTTTGGAGTCTAAAGGTTTCAAGTTGAGTAGGACCAAGACGGAATATTTGGAGTGCAAGTTCAGCGATGTGTCGGGGAAAGCGGACGGGGAGGTGAGGCTTGACTCGCAAGTCATCCCTAAGAGAGAGAGTTTCAAGTACCAGGGGTCTATTATCCAATGAGATGGGAAAATCGACGGCGATGTCACGCACCGCATCGGCGTGTGATGGATGAAATGGTGGTTAGCGTCTGGAGTCCTGTGTGACAAGAAGGTGCCACTGAAACTTAAAGGTAAGTTCTATAGAACGGTGGTTAGACCGGCCATGCTGTATGGGGCTGAGTGTTGGCCAGTCAAAAATTCTCATATCCAGAAGATGAAAGTAGCCAAAATGAGTATGTTGAGATGGATGTGCGGGCACACTAGCTTGGATAAGATTAGGAATGAAGATATTCGGGAGAAGGTGGCGTGGCTCCCATGGACGACAAGATGCGGGAAGCGAGACTTAGATGGTTCGGGTATGTGCAGATAAGGAGCCTAGATACCCCGGTTAGGAGGTGTGAATGGCCGGCTCTGACTGGTACAAGCAGAGGTAGAGGGCGACCTAAGAAATATTGTGGCGAGGTGATCAGGTACGACATGGCGCGACTTCAGATTTCGGAGGACATGGCCCTGAATAGGGAGGCAGGGAGGTCGAGCATTAGGGTTGTAGGTAGGGGTGTTCAAACCGAACCGGAAAACCGCACCAAACCGAAAAACCAAACCAAACCGATTAAAAAACCCGACTAGGTTTGGTTTGACTTGGTTTGGTATTGAGTAAAAAAACCCGAACCAAACCGACATATAAATATATAATTTTATTTATATTTTTAAGACTTTGTAGTGATTTTTCTTTAGAAAATGTAGAAATATTTGGATCCTCTCATGTATTAACCTTGAAAGCGTAAATTAACGAAAAATTATTATTAGACGACTAAGAAAATAACTATCATGTGTTACTAAAAAATTTCTCCCATTAGAATATTTTAATAGATCATATGTTTGTCAATTTTTTCCATATTTACTAAACATATATTCACTTATCAAAGCTTTATCTATAATTTTAATAACGTAAGATTGAAATAATATTCATGTAACAAAAAAAATCCGAAAACCCGAAAAACCCGACAAAACCGAACCAATCCAAACCGATATAATTGGTTTGGTTTGGTTTTGATAGAAATCGAACCAACCCGGTCCATGTACACCCCTAGTTGTAGGTTAGGGGGTCGTTGAGTCGTTTTTCTTCCTTGTTGTGGCTAAAACATCTTCTTTGTCAAGGGTTAAGGTGTGTGTACACTCTATCCTCCCCATAACCTCACTTGTGGAATTATTATTACTAGGTTGTTGTTGTTGCTGGCTCCTTTGTAGCGCGTAACCTTAACATATTTGCTCCGACGCACGAATCATTCTTCACCGATCCAACATTTTCGGATCCTACCCGACCCGATATCTTCCTCAAGCTCCGCCATTCTGCGAATCTCATTTTGCGTCGATGAGACCTCGATTCAATCTATGGCGTAGATCGGCCGACGTTATTCCGGTCACCGAGTTCATTTTCTGGTTAATTCATGGCAATATTCGACGATGAAGATGAGCCTATTGCTCAATTCCTCGAATCGGAGATCTTCGCTCTCTCCGATCAGGTAAATTCTCTGAAATTTTTACATTCTCATTCTACTAATTTACTTTCAGAATTGTGTTTTTGATAATCAATTGTAAAATACATTTTTTACGGATCAGGTCAAGATCCTAATGTTGTTTCTCTAAGATTAGGGGGGGGGGGGGG